AAGTATCTCAGATTTTGTTCTTTGAACTTCCACCTTAGCTGAGTTTAGTTAACTGAAGAAGGAAAAAAATTGGATATTATATAAAATATGTTTTTTTAAATCTGTGTTTTAACTGGTTGTGTAGAACTTGAGGTGGCATAGGATCATACAGGAGGAAGGAAGAGCTGAAAGAAGTCTTTCCATAGATCTATGTATTCCATTGTGTAGTTTCTGAAACTCTTTCAACCAAATGAGTGGGTCTGAAGACACTAAACTATAAAAATTTAGCCCTCTGTGTCCCATTGGCATATTTAATGCTAAATAACCTTCTCAAACTTCCTTAGCTCTTGCATTGTTTCTGTTTTCTTCCCAAGCAAATGTCCTAGCTAACAATTCTTCAAATAGCTGTTGTGATTTTGCCAGTGGGGAGGGAACTGTATAAAACAAGGCTGAATCCTACATTATGTGAGTTCTCAGGAGGATGCAACCTAGTATTGGTAATAAGACACATGCATAACAAACTCATACTAGAAGACAAAATATACAAAAGGGATGCAGAAATCAAATGAGATCAAAGTTCAGAGCGATAGATGATGACCACTTATAGGAAGCAGGCATGTTTACTGTAAGATGTGGGCCTGCAGGCATTGATAACATATTTTGGAGAAAAATGGGAGATGGAATTCCCAGTGGAGTTAGCATTATAAATCAAATAGGAGCACCACGTATGGCTGCTTAAGAGTTGGATAGTGCTAAATAAACAGTTGAGGGCATGGTTCAGACAACATGAGAGTAATTCCCTCTGGAGTCATGTGGCATAGTGTCCCTAAGTGAAAGCCGGGAAGCATTAAATATACAGGCAGGTGGTCAAAGAATTCTAAATAATATAGCTTGGACTACGGGATCCATTGTGACCCTAAATGATTGAGTGAAGTTGCTTTACCTGTTTCATCGGCTTTCATTGAACCAAAAGACCTATACTCTCTCTCATATATATATATATATATACTCTCTCTCATATATATATATATATTTATGTGAATTATATATATACATGTATACACACACATATATAATTTTTGTAGGAGGAGTTGAGGAGGATAATCTTGAGTAATGGAGCTGCTCTAAATTTCAGAAGAATGATCCATCATCAATATTATTGAAAACATGAGCAAATTAAATTGGAAGACAATACAATTTTTCCAGTAAACTTTTGATGTGCTTGTGCAAAGGGTGAAATGAACTGAGAAACAGAGTAGTTGTTAGACTTTAGATATGGTTAAAGTGGTTCAAGGCATCGCAGGTAAAATTACTGTGTGTGGCACCGGCATCCCATATGACCTGCTGGTTTGAGTCTTGATTGTTCCACACTGCTTTCTGATTCCTGATATTGTGCCTGGGAAAGAAGTGAAAGATAGCCCAAGTATTTGGGTCCCTGTGCCCACATGGGAGACCCAGAGGAAACTCCTGGCTTCTGGTTGCAGTCATGCTCAGCTCCCACGATTGTAGTTAGTTAGCAAGTGAACCAGTAAATGGAAGATCTTTGCTTCTTCTTCTCTATCTCTCTGTAGCTCTGCATTTTAAGTAAACAAATAATCCTTTAAAACATAAAGAAGGTCCACTTCTTCAAGTCCATCGGAGAGAAGTTGGAGTTGACCATCAAACTGAAGTTCTAGGGGAAGTGACCCACTTGTACCTCAATACCATCTTTATGATATGAAAACTTGATATTTTTGATTTGACATTGTTATTAATAAGCTTCAGTTTCCAACTTTCTTTCACTGTTCATAGCCTGTCTTTTCTCTCTGTTATGTGCTCTCTGCAGGATCTTTTGCAAGTAGACCTTTTTGAATTGATCCCAGGCCTGGGCTTTTCCTGTGCACTGTCCAGACTGTAGCCTGTTGATCACAGCTGCTTGTTTCTGGGTACTGCTTCTATTTTTAAACTCGAACTCTGTGAATCATGAGTCCAAGAAGGAAGCCAGTTAATAGACTGTTGGCATAGGATAGAGATGAAAATGGAAATTCTTTTATTCGTTCATCAGATGTTTATTGAAGACTACTGAAGGCAGCCCTGGCTTTGTGTGGTTTTGCTTTTCACCTGTGTATATTACTGCAACTGGTTCTCCCCTCAAGTTCTCCAAAGAGTTCAAGATTTCTTTACCAAAGGTGGGTGTCTCTTTACTGTAGCTGCAAGACCTCAGATAGTGTTAGAAGATGGCAACCTGGGAACAGCAGGAGCTGATTTATTTTTGGTTGCCAGATATTTTTAAGTTGAGAGTTCAATGTGATTTGGTAACACGTACTGAACTCCCATAGAAATGATGAATGTGGTATAATTAAAAGGGAAAGAGTGGACATTTGCGTACTAGATAAGAAACTCTTTGGAAACCTGGGCAAGGATTCATTCCTCCAACAATATGCGTATGCAATGAAATCGCCCTCAGTATTGTTTCCTGCAGAATTTAAGTCTTGCTTTGTTTAAGCAGATATGGACACTGATGATTTTTCTTGTGAAACATTAGTTGTATCATGGTAATTACTGGTCAGTGTATTTAGGAGATTTTGTTTCAGTGTTCACCAGATTACCATAATTCACTTGTTCTAGATAATTTTTCATCTTACCAGCAGTGTTATATCACATAAAGAAAAGACATGCAACTAATCTAGTCAATCAAGTTGATTACTAATTTTTCCTTGTATATTCTCTGGTAGTCACATTTGAACATTTGAAATAGCTATAATCATGATATTGACATATATTCATTATTTTCAAAATCATTTTGTTAACATTTCCATTTTACTAATTTTCATATTCTAATTAAGTGGCTGCATAATTCTGATGCAATTTAGTTATTGTAATTTTCTTGGAATCTCCTTTTTTTTCTGGCCATTCATGTTTTTTTTCCTGTGGGATTATTTGTCAAAGGACATGAATGCTGTTATTGTGGGTCATCCTTGTTTTCCATTTTTGTCACAACCATGCTAAAGCAATAACTTTCATGGCATTCTTGTCTTGGTTTGCCTTTTAAAACTAACTGGAGAGGTTTCTTTATTAATTATATTTCATCGCCTGATTTGTGATATTTTCCTTAATTTTATTTTTCTGGTTATTTTTTTAAAAGTAAGTATCTGTAAGCTCTTTATATTTTGTCAGTTAAGCTTTTTTGTCTATTAATGTGATTTAATTTTTGTTTTGTAAGTTTAACACTTTAAGTTTAGGCTTTTTTGGTTTATCTGTTTCTGACTAGTTTTTTTTTTTTTTTTTCCCTGAATGCTTTCAAAAGCACTGTAGGTTGTGTGGTTTTCTGAGTATCATTCTTCATTTTACTTCTTGGTCTTTTGTCAGCTGTGTTAGATTCTTATGGGCTTACACATTCTAGCATCATGAAATGGCATGGTTGAGGGGAATTCCTCATTAGTATTCATAGTAGAGAATAATCAGCTTTACTAAATCATGTAATATCCACAGATTATAATACAGCTTTATGAACTGAGACTTTAGGAATTACATGAAGTAACTTCTGAATACTGCTAGTAAATTAAGAAACATATCTACTCTAAGGTTACAACAACTAAAATAATGAGATTTATGCAACACTTTACAAGTACTTCATATTTGGAAATCACTTTTCCTTATGTTATTTGTCACTACTTTCCAGTGTTTTGATTTTACGTTTTAAGTGATAATGACATTACAGTATGATTTTTAAATTACTTGTTATTTGCCAAATTATTTCAGCAAGTCCTCACTGGTTACCTAAATTATGCCCAATTATTGATTTTCTTCTTATGGGGGCTCAGATTCTATTATGTTAGTGGGATGTTTGTTTGGAATTTTTATTTAATTAGTTTTGTAATTATTTTTAAACAACATATATAGTCTGATACATGTTTAGTATATTCATTGATAGTTGAACAGTGTATTTCTTAATTCTCTTTATAGGTGAGAATTCAATGTATCCTCTAATATTTTATATAGGGGAGAGAGGGTTTTAAAAATGTAATAGAAGGTAGTTTATCCTTAAACTGTAGGAGAAGACAAATTGAAATGCTGAAAATATTCAAGATTAATGAACAAAGTATTCAAAATAGTTAAGAATATTTAATTTAATTGATTTTTAACAAATCATAACGTGAGAGAGGAGTGTGCTTGTGTCACATCAATCTACTGTTATCCTAAGTCATCAGCTGTAATAACTGCAGTTTGCTCATGGCTAGTTAGTTAATATACAATAGATGGGAAGAAGGGAGGGAGGTCTCACATTGAACTGATACAATTAGAAAGCCGAGAATGAATTTGGAGATGTCAAACCAATGTATAGTAATCCACTCACGTGGTATTACAGGTTATGGCTTTTATGCATTAATGTCTCAGTCTCTGTAGAGATGGTCTCACACGAAAAACATCCACACTGAGTTATGCTTCAGATCTCAGCATACGGATCAGGAAATTTATTAGCTGCGTATGTGTGCTAGTGTTTGGAATAAAATGCCATTCGCCTCTGATTCTGCATCTACTGTATTTTCTCATGGCTTCTCACGTGTGATATTGTGTTGTTTAGCTTGAACAACTGATTTACAGGGAACTAGCTCATTACAGTACATTTGACACTGTCACCTTTTTTTACTCTAGTATTATTTTCAAATCTTAATTACTAAGTTTCCCAGAAATGGTTTTTAAAGAACTTTGTAAAATGGATGGATTAGGGCCCGGCGCGGTGGTGCAAGTGGTTAAGGTCCTCACCTTGCACGCCCGGGATCCCATATGGGCACCGGTTCTAATCCCGGCAGCCCCGCTTCCCTTCCAGCTCCCTGCCTGTGGCCCGGGAAAGCAGTCGAGGACGGCCCAAGGCTTTGGGACCCTGCACCCGCGTGGGAGACCCGGAAGAGGAGTCTGGCTTTGGATTGGCATAGCATGGGCCGTTGCGTTCACTTGGGGAGTGAATCATCGGACAGAAGATCTTTCTCTCTGTCTCTCCTCTCTGTATATCTGCCTTTCCAATAAAAAAAAACTAATAAAAAATAAATCTTTAAAAAAATGGATGGATCAGTCATCTTTAGGAATGTTTACTATAATAAATTGAAAATAAAAGTGTCATGTGTGCACTTAAATTCATCTGTGTCATTTCCTACTTCTTCATAATGGGTACTTTGTTAAATCCTGCTTGAAATTTAGACAAGGCAAATTGAGTATCTAAGTCTAAAAAAGTGTTGCAAGTTGAAGTTTTATGTTTGGTCTGAAGTGGGTGAGCTTGCTAGGTTTTGCTCAGTCCTTGTTTCTGTCCCCACACTGCGGCCCTTTCTCTCTGCTTGAATGGACAGAATAGTGGTCCCTGTCGGGACGCTTTCCACAGAAGTCTTCTGAGCTACAGTGAGAATAGAAAACTGCTACTGAGACATGCTTTATTTTGGAGTAGTTTACTCTGGTACTGTCATTGACAGTCATACAGGAGACGAGTGGAATAGATGAGAAATGCTAGCATTGGGGAATCTAAGAAGGCGTAATTGGTCTTTTGTTGTGTTTCATTAAGTTTTCATTTGAGACATCAGAACCTGTGTTTGAGAACCACTGGAGTATTGAGTATTTAGAGTTCACAAAACTGAATTCTCTGAGTGAAAGACTGTGCATGTGGAGTACCATGTTGTAGGTCAGAATTTCTTGAATTTACTCTTGACAAGAAAGTCCTTGAGCCTGTAAAATGATGATTGTTGTTATTGTTACTAAACGATGTAGATGGTGGGGACTAGTGGGCTCAAGTGTATATTCAACCACCAAGGGCAGATGTGCTGAAAATGTTATGTTTACTGCCAGAACAATTATGTTTTCTTGTTGTTTGGAGTATCTTCCATGTAGGATTACAACATTTGCTGGTTTTTAGGGCTTATGTTTTAAGAAGCCCAAAGTTCTACATTCTGTGGGTGTGTATTGCTGTATTGTGTGGTAGTAATTCTACACGTTACTTATAATAAAGGGGAAAACTTTGGAGAAAAGATCTGTGTGTTTATAGCTCCCAGTTTTACAATAAGGGAACACTGTTGGGAATTCTAAAATAGCTCCACCAGATCAGTAATTAAGATAGTCAACTGTTCCCCAGCCCCTAACATCCTGTTTCATCACAAATATTTATCATTTTTTTCATCGGTTCTCCACCCACCTTGTGGGCTGTTGTGGTTGCTGACACCCAGCCAAGAGGCTGGGGAATGCCTGTCCACAAGCAGCCCGGGTGTCTGGTTGGGGTGCTCAGAAGGTCTTGAGTATTGTAGCATTGAAACAGAGTAATCCTATTCATTTCGTTGCCAGATTCATCAGCAACATGCTGTTGCTAGTCATAACGAAAATATACAGTTTGTGGTAAGAAAACAAAAAACCCTGAATTGTACAGTATTTGAAGATGTGATTCTGAGGTGGCCTGAAAGTGCCACAAAAAAAAAAAAAAAAAGAGAGAGAGACAAAGAATAATTATTATCTAAAGAAAATGAGTGTTGAAAGAAGCTAGTCTGTTTAAGTATTGGGCTAGTAGTTTTCAAGAAGTTTGGTTTTCCTGAGAATTTCATGTAATATAATTAGCTGCTCACTTAGAAATAGTGGATAAAGTACAAAATACAATGTGCTATACGAGACCAATAGGGTAACAGTTTACAGACACATGGTGTACTTATTACAGATGGGATGGACATTTTTGAAGGGTATTGGCCAAAAATATTGCTCGGGGTTATGAATTTGTAGGCAGAAAACCACACAGGTGATGTGTCTGTGTGTTTGTATTCTGTTTGGGGGAGTATCCCCTGAACATGCTTCATGACGTTTACCTTGATTTATTGGTTGGGGTAGAAATCAACCAGGTTTTTCCGCTGGAAGTGCTGCATTTCCTTTTCTGGATTCTGTACTCTCAAAGTCTGTCTACACTTCAGGGCGAGAAATTTGCATTTATTTCCTGAAGGGAAGGGCTGTCTGCATTTCACTGGTTGATTGATTTTAGTGTGAATTCCTGAGTTTTTTTTCTTTGAGTCATCCAATGCTATCAGTTAATTTTGCTTTCCATCATTTGTTTTCCAATTATTTACATCTTATTGTGCTGAGCATACTGGTATCTGGTGTTACAATCACCTGTTTGCTTCACTCATTTTCCAAATGGATAGAGTCAGTTTTGCTGCCCTGGCTAAACTTAAGGTCATTTTCATAGTCACATTTTGATGATATTTTGTGGGAGGAGAAATCATAATGCAAAACTTCTTGTCAGCAGATTGGCGAATTTACCTGAGAAATTGAGACTCAAGATTATGGGAATGTGTGGCTAAGACCGAAAGCAGATTTCCAGGTAGGAAATCAAGTCCATTTTCTTTCATTCCTTTGCACTTTGTTTTGCAAAAGTCAAATCACCATTTTCTTTGAAGACACAAAATCCAAAAAAGAGAAATGTAGATATTTTATTAGGAAACAACTTTATTGAGGTTTTATTAGGAAATCAACTTTGTGTTCTTTTATAGATTGTTTTATTTGATTTCCAAACAGCGGGGTTGAAGCTAGGCTTTGAAGTGAGATCCAGAAGGAACTGTGTCTATGTTTGTTAAAAGTAGTCTAGATATGATTTTGGTTCTTGAAACCTGTTTAAGGAGTAATCAGATTATGGATAATATCGTGATTGGTCAAGTCACAGAAAACAGCTACTGGATGCAGAGTTTTATGTGTCACCCATTGTGTTTATTAGGTGTGCTGTAATTTTAGATTTTTCATAAAATCCCCTGGATATAATAAGTCACACACTGATGGAAAGGGCAGGCATGTGGGGAATAACACAGATCATACAATATGTGGCATATTTTGGCATACTGTTTTCACAAAAAGAAGCGGCTGTCCAACAGCTTCCATCATGATAATATCAAGTAGGGAATTAAAAGATACACAGACTGCAGTCAGAACACGAAGACAAGCAATTGGAAATCCAAAATGCCAGTGGAGTTAATATTATGCAGTGATTCTTACCTCTGCTATTACAGGTATAAAAGCAGTATGATCCTTCCCTGTAAACTGCAGAGGCTTCAGCTCCATGGCAACACGACCTATTCTGTCAGAGGGTGTGTATACACAAATGCATTCAAAGCACAGGGTTGAGAGTGAGTTTGGGGAGGGTAAAACCCAACCCTTCAAGTCTTGCCCACACATTTTTATGTCTCTATTATAATAAGGCCTTTGTGCAGAGAAGCCTGATAGAAGTTCATGTCAGCTGCTCTCTGGTCTTTTACATGATCTAGCCCTCGACACCCACTCCTTCGCTCTGTGGAAAGGAAGCAAGAAAAGGCAATTCAAGAATGCTACTAGGAGAAAAAAAAAAATCTCTCTTCTGGGAATGTCAACATAGTTACTGCTTTTCTGTGTCTCTGGCGGGCATTTGGCTGCTGCTTTTCACAGTCTCATACTGGAGAGAGCTGTTAAATTGTAGCCTTCACGTGCATGGTGAGAACTACTCTATCTCTTCTGTGGGATAGGGTGCTTTCTGTAGATCTTCCCCTGTCCTTCCTTTCATTGAGGTGCCTATGGCACTGGGTGTGGGGAGTGATTAGCCAGTTCCTGCCCACAGTTTCCTGGCATCTTGCTCAATCCTCAGAGAACACATTTCTTCTCTTGCTGTGCCTTAGCCATGCATATCCCCAACAGTCCTATTGGTCTGTTGCATAGTTTTTCCAGTAGGAAAAGACAGCATCACTAATTGACTGTTTTTATGTATTAGATTCCTGTGCTGCATCTTAGAAATGATAGAACAGCCTGGAAAATGTTTACTTTTTGCTGTGTTCTGATTTAGTTGATCCAGGGCATGGATGGAATGTTATGCTCTTTCCTGGTTCACTCTGAGAATAATCTCTACTAAGCCTCAGACAAGTTTTGTTCTCCCTAACATTTGAGACCCAATATTATTGATTATCTCCACTAGATCCAGGGGTTTAGGATCCAAGAAATATCCTATCCTTTCTCTCCTGAACTGAGTCCCTGTCTTTGACACCATAGATGCTCTGGTGGTTCTGGGAGGAGATTATTGATAAGAGGCCTGGGAAGATAGGAGACAGTGTGTTCATGAGAACAAGAACACAGTAGCTAGATGTTTTCAGCTTAAACCTTCATCAAAGACTAATGAATGATTCTCAGCCCTTATTGTTTCTGCTTGTGGCATTTTCTTTGAATTTGCTTTTAAAAATAAATGATCCAAAACTAAAATTATCTAGTCCATAAAATGATTGCATTTTTGTAATTTACTTACTCAAGCATTTTTGACGTGCTGTATGTGTGTGTACCTGGGCGTGTTAAAAAAGAGTAAGCATGGACTGCAAACATTGTGGTGCATTGTGAAATGGGTTACAGGACAAGGATGTGCCAAGTTTTTATCTATGACGTGAAAGCAGTTCATCAGCTTTGCCGGAGGGGATTGGGGAAGGAGCACATGTTTGTGCTGCATCTTGCAGCACAGGGAGGGCATTCCAGGAGAAGAGAATCCTGGCATGCACAGGTTTAGCGGCACAGAAACTGCAGGCTGCTTCCCTGAGCAAAAGGTCTTCTGGCTGGATCTCAGGGTTGAGGTGGGGGTGGAGGTGGTGAGTGGAGTTACAAGGGGAGAAGCTGGAACACTTGGCATTGACCAGGTCCAGGTCCCTATGCCAGGCTGCTGTGTTTGAACTTCATCCTGTAGGTAATACAGAGACATCGCTTAGATTGCATTTTGTAAAGATCTCTGAGGCAGCATCACAAGAAGAAATTAGAGGAAACCAAACCGGGGTTTAGGAAGACACGATGTGAAGACAATTAAAGTTAATCTTCAAAAGAAAAAAATAGAAAAGCTTGAATTTGTGCTGTGATATCGAGATTAGTGAGCACAGGACAAATAGCCAGCCTTGGGAAACAACACTGCGTGAGTCAGTGAGCCAGTAAAGGCAGAGAAGGAAATCCAGAGGTCTGTAACCTGGGGCACACAGTGGATAGAGATCACCTCCCCTGGGGCGAGGAAGATTGACAAGCCTTTGAAAAAAGCTTTGTCCTGTGAAAGCTCTCTAGCTTTGGAATAAGAAAGAACTTTCAATTTTACTTCTCTATCTTATCACCTCCGCGTTCTTTTGTCAAGTGCTTACCTTCTGGGACCCATCTTTTCCTGATCTGTAACTTGGGGGCAATAATTACTGATTTACAGGCTGTGATAAAGAGATTATCTGAGGCAGATGCTGCTGCATGGCTTGTAAAGTTACTGCCTGCAGCATCAACATCCCCATCTGGGTGTCAGTTCAAGTCCCAGCTTTTCCACTTCCTATCCAGCTCTCTGACATGCCCCTGGGAATGCAACAGAAGATGATTAAGTGCTTGAATCCTTGTATCAACAAAGGAGACTTGGAAGAAGCTCCTGGGTCCTGGGGGGGTTCCAGCCATTCTGGCCTTTTGGGGAGTGAACAGGTCAAGTGTCTCTCTTCTCTCCATCCCTTCTATCTCTATGTAATTCTGCCTTTCAAATAAAGATTTTTTAAAAAGAGGCAATCTATGCCAAGCTCCAGACTCAAAGTCTGTTCTTAGATAAAGGGCAGATTAATATAATCAGTTTCTGTAGGCAGATATCAAGACCTGGAACCCAAGAGAGGTTGCAAAAGCTGACTTCAGGGTCAAGAAACAATCAGGGCTGAGGCCCTCTGCCATTCAGTTCTACAGAAGTCTTTGTTGGGAGCACAATGTGCTAACTAGCTGCCGATCTAGGGAAACAAAGATGAAGAGATTTTAGGTCTCACCTCAAGAATCTCAGTCCATAGAGAGAGACCAAGCAGGGCATCCAGCATATATATCCAGATGTCTTTAAAAGGGTGTAATGTAATATACCAAAAGGAGCATTGAAAAGTTTATGGAAAATGATATTAAAGTTTAAGATTTTAATTTTTTTGGTGCAAGTTTTTTTTTTTTTCCAATTCATGCATGCAAGGGGTTTAAAAAGTGTGTATTATGGAAAAAAGAAACCAAAACTATGCATGGATTTTAAAGTTAGACTATTCTTGATTTTTGCACCAGAATAGTCTTATCTTTTGATTTTACTTTCCATGACCTCTTTGAGCACCCTTATAATATATATATATTATACAGGATACACACCACACAGGGACTGAGCATTGTCAGAACCTTAGCGGCACTCCAAAGCAATCTTGGCTTTTTCCCAGTAATAGTGGAGCCTAAGTTTTAACACCTATCTACAACCCTGTCAACATTGTATGTTCTTGTATTACCTTTTACCTTGGTCCTTCACATGTATTGAACCATGAGCTCTGTTTCCTTCCATGCCTGACTCCCTGCATTCAGTGGTGTGCCGTGAGGTTCATTCCTGTTGTCTGTAATAGTCATTCATACCCATTGTGTGTGTGTGTTGAATTCTAATATATGAATGTACCATAATCTATTTATTCTACCATTCCTTTTGGGTTTTGGCTTTTACAGCTGGTGCTTGTGTGAATGTTATAGTGCATATCCATTGAGTGTAGCCTAGGGTGGAACTGCACGATCATAGGGCTTTTGTGTACTCACTCAGCAGTCACCGCCACATCCCTTTTTAAACTAAGTGTGCCAAAAATGTATGAGCGTTATACCTGTCCTATTATGGTGTTTGTTTTGATTACAGTGACATATTTTTAAAGATTTATTTTATTTTATTCTTGAAAAGGCAGATATAAAGAGGGAAAGAACTTTCATCCACTAGCTCATTTCTTAAATGGTCACAACAGTCAGAGCTGAGCCAAACTGAAGCCAGGAGTCAGGAGCTTCCTCCAGGTCTCCCACTGGGTGCAGGGTCCCAAGGGTTTGGGCTGTCCTTAACTGCTTTCCCAGGCTTTAGGCAGAGAGCTGGATGGGAAGTGCAATAGCTGGGACATGAACTGGTGTGTATATGGGATCTCAGCAGATGCAAGGCAAGGATTTAGCCACCAAACTATCATTCTGGCTTGACCACAGTGGTAATTTTAATTTTCTTTGATTGTTAGTGAGATTTGGCCCCCTTTCATATGTTTTTGGCTACTAGAGACTTTTATAAAGAGACTGTCCACTCTCTGTTGGGGCATCTGTTATACCATTAATATTAAGCAATTATCACAGAGAACTGCTCTAGCACTGCAGTTAGGGTTCATCGCCCTCCTATTCCATGCCTCCAAGGAGCTGGTAATGCCTGCTCTTTCAGGATGCCTAGGTGTGCCTAGGACAATGAGATGACAGACTGCATTAGAGGCAAGACTCAGGAAGCACTTTTCTGTCTGTGTGACTCTGTTTCTATGTGCTAAAAGAGAAGGAAAATTGGATGATGATTAGGAAGAA